GTCCATCCTTGCTGCTTGACACAGTCGCTGCAGAGAAGAAACATCTGCACAGCATATGTTTCAATGGACCTGGCATATATGGCATACTGTTCTTAATATCTTTGCTCCCCTTCTTAGTGGTATGTGTTTTAACCAAGGTCACCTCTCCAAGAAAGGTTGTTTCCCCAGGTGGGAATTTTTCCCTGGAGTTAGGGATCAACAGGATTAAGGAAGGTAATAAATCAATAAAATCCCTTAACTAGGTGCCAGGCGGGTAGTTAATCACTTTAACTATGAACAATCACACTTAAGCTACATAAACTTTACTTAGGATAATCTCCTTCAGTTACTTCCTTGTAGCTTAACAGAGCAATAGAATAGTGATCTTGGAATGGAGATAACAAACGTCCTAACCTTTGGAATAGAATGGATAGGATTAAAATCAAATGGTATAAATACAGATGTAACAGGAGAATAAAAACAGAACCTGGCTAGAGAACCTGGCTAGGCTGCTGATCACCTGAACGCTGTCTCTGTGTCATTCATTCTTCGCTGACTCTTGTCCACACTTTTGGGAACCCCTGGACCTGTTGGGGCTGGACCCCAACAAGGTATCACTGGGAGTAATTGACCTTCAGGCCAATTGGCTGTGAGAATCAGCTGTGTCTGTGGTGGGAGAACTTTTGTGCTTGAGACTTATGGGGCAAGATTTGCTTCAGTGGGGCTTTGGTGCTCACTGAGTCTGCCCCCTGAGTGTCCCTTATGGATCTGAGAAGCTATAATCTGGATGGTCCCACTCTGACCACTGGGTACACTGGCTCTTGGATCTCTAAGAAGGTGCTAATTTAGCCTCTGTCTCAGGCTACCCAGCAGGAGCTATGGAGAGATCTGCAGATTCCTCTTCTTTGTTTGGATTTTGGAGATGCCCAGATGAGGCCCAGCTGTGAAGCAATGCAAGCTGCTGTAGGGCCTTGGGCCTTCTTTTGGTTGTTCTGGGTCTCTCTTACTCAGCTGCAATTTGTTAGGTAATTTTAGATTGCAAAGGGCCAGACCCTTTCTTATGCAAAAGCCTCTGGGCACAGCTTGGGTGGGGCAGGGTCTCAGGGAATCAACAGGGCAGAGCAAACAGCTATGGCTGCTCCTCAGCCCTGCCGGGAGTAGCCCCGGGTCTCAGTGTCCCGTGGTAATCGCTGCAAGCACCTCTGAGAGAAAGCCTCTCTCGAGGTCTGCCGGATGCCAGACAGTCCAGTTTCTCCCTGTATGAGTCTGGGTCCCCAGTCACTTGCCCGGAACTGGAGTTCAGAGCAGTTGGGAGCTTGAGACTCCCTCCGTATTGAGAGAAACAACCACATCCTCAGTTTCCAGCCCTTTCCATGTGCACCTCTGTACCTCTGCACCTCTGCACTTTACTTCTGCACCTCCTCTGAGTCTCAGTGTGCTTTTCTTTTTCCGTCTAGTTGTAGAATTTCCACTATGCCAGCCTTTCTGTGGTTCTGGATGATGTCCATTTTGTCTTTTAGTTGTATTTTTGAAGTGGTTGTGCGAGGCAGCAAGTTCTGGTGTTTACCTATGCCACCATCTTGGTTTCTCCTTCCAGAATGACATTTTACATCATGTCCTGGTATAAGCATACTTAGACATATGTGTGTATATCCTATATAATAAAAGCCTATTATGCCAAGTGTCCAGTCGTCTGCTTGGCCATTCAACCAATCAATGCATAATATGCTAATGATATGCTAAGGCTGCTCAACCGCTCACTATGACGTACACTAACCACCAGGGGGCAGATAGTCCATGGGTCAACCAGTCGCTATGACATGCACTGACCACCAAGGGGCAGACGCTCCACCTGGTAGGTTGGCTTGCTGCTGGGGTACGGCTGATTGGGACTGAGTGAGACAAGCTGGACATGCCCTGGAGCCCACAGTCCCTCCCTGGCTGGCCAACCTCCAGTGTCCCTCCCTGGCCCCAATTATGCACCATTGTGGTCCCTCAGCCTGGCCTGTGCCTTCTCACAATCCGGGACCCTTGGGGGATGTTGGAGAGCTGGTTTCAGCCCAATCCTGCAGGCTGGGCTGAAGGACCCCACTGGTGCATGAATTCATGCACCAGGCCTCTAGTACGTATATAGAGATAAATGTCAAGTTTCACAAAACACTACATCTGATGCACTATGATTTTCCTTTTTTATTATTTCATTTTATAAAATTTTGGTCATAAGTCACTAAACTGATATCAGTACTTACTGAGTGACAAGCCCTAGCTGGTTTGGTTCAGTGTGTAGAGCATTGCCCTGCAGACTGAGGGTCCCAGGTTCAATTCTGGTTAAAGGCACATGCTGGGTTGTGGGCTCAATCCCCAGTAGGGGGTGTGCAGAAGGCAGCTGATCAATGATTCTCTCTCATCATTGATGTTTCTATCTCTTTCTTTCTCCCTCTCTTTTCCTCTCTGAAATCAATAAAAATATATTTTTAAAAAATGAGTGACAACCTGCAGTTTAAAAAATTACTCTTGTGGGCAATATTAGCAGATAGCTTATTAATCTTTATTCCAGAAAATGACCCCAAACTAATTGTGTTTTCTAACAGCAGACTTCCTGTGTACAAAGGGTCTACTCTTGAGACATTCTTTTAAAGTGTCTCCACTTTTGCCTCAAAGGTCCAGAGGCTGATGCCAATTTCATTACATAAGAAAATCAGGATCATAGTCTTCCTTCGCTGTTTCTGGCATCAGCTTTAAGTTCTGAACATCTTCCACCCCAGGAACACTTCTTAAGATGAAATCTTTATTAAAACTGGCTGAAACTGTATGCAGCTTGGGCCATTAGACTCTGGTGACACCTGAGGAGTTCACTCCATGAATGGCTCAGAAAGTAATGGAAAAATAGGCAGAGATTAAATACTTATGGCAGTTCACAAAATGAAATACAACACAGATTATCAATCTGTGTTCTATTCAAGGTACATTCTTAGGTTAAAAAGTGCATTGTGTATAGTAGACTTCCATGTGTTTTAAAAAGGGGACATATATGCTTATATGTGTATAAAATATTTTTGGAGAGTTCAACAGGATATTAGTCATGAGAATTGCCTCTAGGGAAGAGAAATAGAGGACTGGGAGTCTAGGATTGCAGAGATTTAATATTTTTGTACACCTTTTCATAGTGTTTGAATTTTTTATTTTGTGTATATACATATATTACTTTTTCAATTAAAAATAGTTCATTTTTGCCTGGCCAGTGTGGTTCAGTGGTTGAGTGTTGACAGATAATCCAGGAGGTCACAGTTCAATTCCCAGTTAATAATTCTCTCTCATCATTGATGTTTTTCTCTCTCTCCCTCTCCCTTCCTCTCGGAAATCAATAAAGATATATTTATTTTAAAGTTAATTTTATAACATGTTATGTAAACTCATTAAGATAAAGGGAGATTTCTTTGAGGACAATTATATAAACAGATGTTTATTATAACACCAAAATTCATTACCTGTCATTTACATATCTTGTACAACTTACAGAGTTCCACATCCATTGCCTGAGTGCTCATCACAACCTTTTGAAATAGGTGGGACAAATACTAGAAGCAGCACTTCATACATTTTTTTAAAAAAATAACCTAAAGTTTAAAGGAGTTCAAAACCTAGAGCATACTTTCACAAAAGAAGTTTGAAGTGATTGACATGATTTGCATATGTTGAAACCTGAAATTTCACAGTATTTTGAGCTATCAAGTAGTTTATGAATAGCAGTGTTTTAAAGCCTTCAGAGATATTCCTTGCAGTATTGATCTCCTAACGAAGAAACTCTTGCATATGGGAGGAAGGAGGCAGAAAAAACAACCTACTGAAACTCTTTGTGTAAAATACGCCTAATCTTAGAGCATACATTGTCAACTAATGCCTGGTTGAAAATTAACATTTAAAAAGTTGCATCCAGCCAAACCGGTTTGGCTCAGTGGATAGAGTGTCGGCCTGCGGACTGAAACGTCCCAGGGTCGATTCCACCTTGATTGCAGGCACATCCCCAGTGGGAGGTGTGCAGGAGGCAGCTGGTCGATGTTTCTCTCTCGTCGATGTTTCTAACTCTCTATCCCTCTCCCTTCCTCTCTGTAAAAAATCAATAAAATACATTTTAAAAAAATAATTGCATCCAAAACTTCCCTATATAGATGTTTAACTTTGAAATAGAACAAACCTAAAATAATTGCCTACATGGAAAAAGAGGGAAATGAAAAATCATCACTACTAAATCTTGAAAATATACCCTAAAGTTTTATGGCTATGTTCATTGTATCTCCAGTGTCCCCGGACAGTCCAATTTTCACCTCCTGTCCCCAAGTAATTATTGATAGCACCCCTTTTACTCTCAAAAGTGTCCTAGTTTGAGTAATAAAGTATATCTCCACCCTATGAAATATGACAGTCTAGGGCCTAGAGTCTCTAGGCCCATGGTCAGCAAACTGCGGCTTGCGAGCCACATGTGGCTCTTTGGCCCCTTGAGTGTGGCTCTTCCTAAGCCTTATTAAGTTAATAACAATGTACCTACCTATATAGTTTAAGTTTAAAAAAGTTGGCTCTCAAAAGAAATTTCAATCGTACTGTTGATATTTGGCTCTGATGACTAATGAGTTTTCCGACCACTGTAGACTCTAGGCTCATACATTTTTAAGATCCTCACATTCTAGCATTTGGGCTTCATCCCAAAAGTAAAAATTACACTCATTCATGAAAAGGCTGAAGATCCATGCTCAAATTTTAGCTACATATGTATAAGACTCAAATAATAATAAATGTACCTACCTATATAGTTTAAGTTTAAAAAAGTTGGCTCTCAAAAGAAATTTCAATCGTACTGTTGATATTTGGCTCTGATGACTAATGAGTTTTCCGACCACTGTAGACTCTAGGCTCATACATTTTTAAGATCCTCACATTCTAGCATTTGGGCTTCATCCCAAAAGTAAAAATAATTACACTCCATGAAAAGGCTGAAGATCCATGCTCAAATTTTAGCTACATATGTATAAGACTCAAATAATAATAAAAACGAGTCATTTCCAAACACTACTCACCAGCAACTGTTGGCTTTATTAAAGAGATTAATAAGACTCTCTTTATTAAAGAGAGTCTCAAGGTCTGATCTGGAAGTTTTGGTTTGTGGGGGTTTAAAAGGGAAATGTGAACCAAGTTTGACTTTGTGAGATTGAGGCAGAAGACAACTGATTTCACTTAACAGAGTTCAAAATTGAACACCACCATCCCTCCCCACTCCGCCCCACCCAAAGTCCATTCTTGTCTCCATTTATTTATTACTATTTGGAAAGTGGCTCCTGGAGGCGAGACACTGTTCTAAGCACTGCACCAGTTTTGTCAGTAGTTTTAGGGACTTTGTGCTAAATTTCCAGTGGTTTGCAGGAATGTAATACTAAGTATCAGGTTTTGTTTAAATCAATGTTTCTATTCCTCTCTAACACTCTAGAATTTCCCTAACTTGGAATTGCTCTATTCAATAATTACAAAGATTATTCCCAAAAAGGTTAAAATATTGCTGCTTTTTTTTTCCGTTACAGGTGCATTTCTTGGGATAAGTAAATGAATTAGTAGCCAAGGTGGGTATAGTAACAGCATCCTTTACTCAGCAGTGAGCAGACCGTCTATTCAGAAAATATAATTACTCAAAAGATTAAGGCAAAGTCACAAGCTGTTTATAAGAAGTATTTACTTGCCACATTCTAAAGCACTTGGCATTTGGATTGAGATTATCCTGTAGTACGTGATTACTTGAGATATCTGTATAAAGTATTAAATAATACTTTAATTGTTCTCTTATGTTTAGATGTACAACTTTAGCAAAATCTTTTCAGAATATATTTTAACACGCATGTACCAAAGGCCACTCATTCAGATTCTCTCTGAGGGAGTTGGGAGTTGGACTGAATCCATCCATTTGGCTTAATTCTGTGGTTGTTTACATGCCTTCTGTTTTCTTCTCCCTTCTCCTTACTTTCTTGGAAATCTTTATTTCCTGTCACTCACCAAACTTTTCACACAAGAAATCTTGTGGGGTTTTTGTTTATTCTAATCATCACTGGTTGAGTGATTACTGTCACTGCCTTCACTGTCACTGTCACTGTCACTATCACTTTCATTGTTGTTGCCATTAGGAGACTTGCTCTTGCTGTCACTCTCATCACTACTGTCAGATGCACTGTCGCTGCTTTCATTGCTGTCACTGCTGTCACTACTGTCACTGCTGTCACTACTATTGCTGCTGTTACTACTATCACTGCTGTCACTGCTGTCACTGCTGTCACTACTATCGCTGCTGTCACTGCTGTCACTATTGTCACTGCTGTCACTACTGTTACTGCTATCTGATTTACTGTCACTACTATCACTGCTGTCACTGCTGTCACTGCTATCACTGCTGTCTGATTTGCTGTCACTGCTGTCACTACTATCGCTGCTGTCACTACTATCGCTGCTGTCACTACTGTCACTGCTGTCTGATTTGCTGTTACTGCTGTCACTGCTATCACTGCTGTCACTGCTGTCACTGCTGTCACTGCTGTCACTGCTATCACTGCTATCTGATTTGCTGTCACTGCTGTCACTACTATCACTGCTGTTACTACTATCGCTGCTGTCACTACTGTCACTGCTGTCACTGCTGTCTGATTTATCTTTGCTGCTGTCTGATTCACTATCATCACTCCCGTTGTTACCATTGCCGTTACTGTCACTATCACTAGCATCTGATGTGTTGTCACTGTCCTCATCTCCTTCTCCTTTTGAATCACTGTCGTTGTCATTATCTTTTGATTCATCTGAGTTATAAGATGCATCTCCTCGGCTACTGCTGTCATTGTCACCTTCAGAATTGGCATCATCATTGCCATTAGACTCATGGCTGCTGTTGGGATCATCTCCTTGCATGGATTCATCGTCAAACTCATAACTATCATAACCATCACTGTTACTCTCACTACCTGTTTGGCCGTGTTCAACCTTATTTCCAGGTTCTGACTTCTGGCCAGGTTCTTGCATGTTGTCAATCTCCCCTTGTGTCTGGACATTTCCGTTGCCCACAATCACTCCATGTTGTCCTTTACTCTCTTTATCGCCAATGACTTTCCCAGCTTCTTTGGTAAGATTGTTTCTATTGCCACTGCTGGGACCTCCAATTTCTATTCCCTGTGGAAGAATGGGTAATTAGTAAATGTTATACTGCAAAATTGCATTGGTCTGAGGAACACTGGCTGAGAAAATTGACCAGTGAAACAGAAGGTCAGCTTCCAGTACTTCAGAAACATCTGTTTGTGAAAATGTGCTGGATTCAGTACTTGAAAATGCTCTAGTGTTTGGGTTATATAACAACCCAGCCACATATTTCACCCAGTAGGAACTTTTATGGTGCAGACATTATTTAGCATAAGACTTTTCTAGAATTTTAACCAAATTTTCAGAAATATCTGATTTTTTTTGGTATATTTTTGTTGTATATTGCCTAACCAGTTTTGCTCAGTGGATAGCGCATGGACCTGTGGACTGAAAGGTCCCAGGTTCGATTCCGGTCAAGGGCATGTACCTTGGTTGCGGGCACATCCCCAGTGGGAGGTGTACAGGAGGCAGCTGATCAATGTTTCTCTCTCATCAATGTTTCTAACTATCCCTCTCCCTTCCTCTCTATAAAAAATTGATAAAATATTTTTTTAAATGTTGTATATCAAAATCTAGTAAGAACTCTGGCTTTCCCATCAGATAGTCAAGTAATTTAGGTACGAAAATACATGAATGCTAGTCATGATTATTTTTTGTGCTACCATTAGTTGGGTGGAGGAGAGAATTTAAACTGCTATTTAAAAAATCAACTTCACAAACTAACCTTATCTTGGCTCTTCCCATTCGTACTTGGCTCTGATTCTTTGGTAATTCTATTATCCACACCATGGTTTTCTCTGTGATTGGTGTTCTGGATGTCTTCCATTCTTGGGCTATCATTTTCTTCTAGGATCCGATCGGAATCCTCCTCACTCTCGGAGTCATTGTCTCCATCGGTGTCGTGGGGATCTTCTTTGTCCTCAGGGTCATCATTTTCACTGCTAATTGAATTTTTACCTAAGCTATTATCATTGCCGCCTTCTTTTCCCTGACCCTGGCCCTCCTGGCCCTGGCTTTTGTCAGTGCCATCTTTTCCATTTCCCGTTTCTTCACCTTCATTATCACCAGAGCCCTTGTCTTCACCCTCATCTGTTCCATCCCCACTAGGACTCCCATCAGAATTATCGAGGCCAGCATCTTCTCTATGGCCAGCTCCGCTTCCCCCTGGTGTTACCTCTGCCCCCTCATGACCATTTCTCTCACCTTCTTTCTGAGGTGTTACTGCACTTGTGTCACCCTCATTCGTACAGGAATTCCCATTTATGTCATCCTCACGGCCTGTACTATTACTGCTTCCAGATACTTGATGCTCATCTTCGTCAACCACAGTGGCATTCTCACTCTGACTTGCATCTCCAACATCCCCATTTTTAAAATTCTCATCAGTATTTCCATTAATATTGCTCCCATTTGCTGCGCCAGTCATGTCAATAGTGCTTACTTGTCCCCTAATACCATGTATTCCATCATGACCATATGTTTCTGGCTTTTCTGTGCCCCCATTCACATCCTCGGGATTCCCCTCTTCATTTACTGACATGGAATGTGTAGAAGAACTTTCCCCTCCTACTCCTGCCCACTCAGGGCCATTTCCTTCTACTCTGTAACCATCTTTGGTATACTGTTGCCTTCCCGTTTCATTTTCATGCATAGGGATACCACTTTCTTTGGTGGTATCATTAGCATATAACTCATCCTGAAAAAGAAACAATTCAAAATAAATAGTGAATATCATCGTGAAACTGAAAAGCTGAGCATCAATTTTTTGGAAGGTAATGAAATCTAAAAACACCTTAGAAACACATTTTATACCCTATACCTGTACTGGCACTTTTAATTTTGCTGGAAGACTTAAATTCACAGATTGGCCAACAGCATGTCTCTCCAATGACTTGATTTGAGGAACCTATGAAAATCAAAAACATTCTTATTTTGTGTGCATTCACATACACAGACACACACATTTTTCCCTAAATGAAGGGGGGGAGATATAACACAAAGGCCAACATATGCTCTAATTAGGTGGAAAAGAGAAATGACTTTTTATAGGGTTTATATGGAATTTAAACGGGCATACAGATCGTTTTCACAACGGTGTTGCCAATTTTATTTAAGAATTAACCAGACCATTCATCTCAACTACAGAAGAGGAACAGTCTTTTCTAAAGATAAGAGGGTAGATCTTGGGTGTTTCTCTACAATAAGCCTCTTGCAAAGTACAAGACCTACCCTAAGTATAATCCTGGCCAAATCCCCCAGGAGGATAGTTGGTATGACCAGAGCCAGTGCATAAGAAAAACCAAGTAATAGACTATGTGTCCTCAGGAGCACATTTGAAATAGTTGAGGAAATTCTCAACTACATTAATACCAAAGCATTTGGTATTATGAAAACATGTAAAAAATGTTAATCATAGCAGCTGGCTAATAAAATTACAAATGGTTGAATTTTCTTAATTTTTTGTTGTTGGTGTTGTTTTTATTTTCCAAATTTTCTACCGTGAGCATATAAACATTAACTCTGTTAGTTTTCTTCTATGTTAAAGAATGCTACTTTTCTTTCTTGAAAACTTTCTAAGCAATACAGGTTTCATTGATATTAGAGTGCAGTTCGGGGCACATGAGCAAAGATGAACAAAATCTTCATGATTTCTGGGGATTGAATGTAAATTGATCTGAATGAATTTTTAAATAAGAATCCTTCTGAGCAGCATGAGTTTTGATTGGAGAAATAGGGGCATGAACTTGGAGTCATGTTTGGCTTTGTTGAGACCCCCAGAGATATCCTGTCAAGTCTTTCATGCAAATCTGAATGTTTAGGCTCAGCTTACCTGCAAAGGCTTCTATATTTATGTTAGGTTAAAAGGGATAGCCAAATAAGGAGGTTTCCTGAAGATGGCATACTCACCGGAATGGCCCATGCTGCTGCCCAAATGCAAAAACAGATGATTATCTTCATTTTCTTCAAAAATATTAGTTAGTAGCTGTTTAAAAAAGAGAATAGTACAACATTGCTTACAGAACAAAAGAGAATAATCACAGTAATGTATCATTTGGTTTGTAAGCATTTGCCTTTTTCTCAGGCAAGGAGTATTTATCGAGCATAAGAAGGCAGCTGCCAGGACTCCGTGTTCCAGAACATCCCTGGAGTGGTCGTGGAGATGTACGGGCATCATCAGGTTCAGCACCAATGGAACCATCTAGAGCAGCGGTTCTCAACCTGTGGGTTGCGACCCCTTTGTGGGCCGCCTAAGACCATCGGAAAACACATATATAATTACATATTGTTTTTGTGATTAATCACCATGCTTTAATTTTGTTCAATTTGTAACAATGAAAATACATCCTGCATATCAGATATTTACATTACAATTCATAACAGTAGCAACATTACTGTTACGAAGTAGCAACGAAAATAATTTTATGGTTGGGGGTCACCACAACATGAGGAACTGTATTAAAGGGTCGCGGCATTAGGAAGGTTGAGAACCACTGATCTAGACTTTTTTGCCTCTGCCAGTGAAGGGGAGCACCCATATAGCCACAAAGTCATTGCCATAATTTGTGTTCTTCTGCTGTTCTTAATGGTAATAATATCTGTCTCTTCCGAATAGTTTTAATCATGTATTAACTAACGGTACTAAGATTGTGTTTAAAAGATGAAGCACTTATCATCCCCTCTCTAAATTCATCCATTTGGGTTCTGCTACCGTAAGGGACAGGCGTGAGGGGGCCTAGGCTCGTGGAAATAACATAGAGTTTGGATTTAGAGACCTGGGCTTGAATTCTACCTTTGCTACTTGCTGTGTGAGTCTGAGAAATTTAAACACTTTACTCAGCCTTGTTTCCTGCATCTGGGATAATAGTAATGCCTGCACTGCAGGACTGCCCCAACCATCTCAGCAGAAAAATCTTCTCGGAGAAGCCTTCTATGGCTCCATTTCTGAGGGTGCTTAGTGTCTCTTTTTTACATGCAGCAGCGTCTACACACCTCACTGGTAGCCTATTGTACTGTTTTTGGTGGGAGTTTTTTTTTTTTTCAAAGTTAAAAACCTAAATTTGTTAAAACAGTTAATGAATTCAGAAAATGATCACGGAGATCCAATTTCTGTAAATGAGGAGTTTCAGATGAAATACACAGAGAAGATAATTACAAAAATAGTCAGATTTTCAAAACTGGAGGTGAATAAAAAAAAAAAACACTTCAGCCAGACAATTAAGAAAAGTATACAGAGAGCCTCTCAGCGCTTATTGTACTGTTTTAAAATAGCCTGGCTACCTGCACATTCCCCTTCCCCACTGAGTGCTCCTGAGACCCACGAGAATGTCTTGGAAATCACTGTAGTCCAATACAGAGCACAGAAAAAGACCTTTTCTGAATATTGTTGATGAATAAATACTTACTAATATAAGCAATACCTGGCACTGCCCTCTGTATGGAGCAATCTCTTAATAAATAATAGCAATTATTATGAGGGACTTATAAACATATGACCCTTTATTCCTATTAGAATTTACATTCAGAAATGGTCGGATATACATTCTGATACATTGGAATAGGCATTGTATAGTCCATGTGAATCAAAACTTTAAATTCCCATTTATTGCAAATTGGATTGCTTGATGTAATGATTCCATTACTGTAGAAAGGAAAGGAGAGTTTTACTCCTATTTCATGAACTCCCACTGGGTTTATAGTTTCTAACGCTGCATATTATAAAATAGCCTTTATTGGACTTAATGTTGTTAGTGGAAACATAATAAAGCCTCCGTGAACATCAACTGCCATAGAGTCATTGGCATTTCTTCACAGGAGAGAGGACACAGTTTCAGGGCTACTGAGAGAGGGGGCGGGGGGAGTGCTTACTCTTGTAGCCGCTCAGCAGAAAGCCAAGACCTCCTTCCAAAATGCTGTAGATGAAAAGCGAGGCCGAGGTGACCTCAGGACAAGCATAATGCAGAGCTCTGGCATGGATGTTGAAGGGCAGCTGTTTAGTAAGCAGGAATTATACTGTACTTTGCAGTCTCAACCCTAATTATTACAGAGCGTCTGCCGAAGGCCAGTCTACACTGTGATTTGGAGGAGCCATGGTGTCCTGGAAAGGTACCTGTAGTGAAGGCTGGGGTTACGTGCAGCCCGTTTCTAAACTGCAATCCAGAAATCTGACCACATTAGCTCCCTTTCATATCCGCTCCAGAACAATTGAATGATGCATGATGATGCTCAGCTGTTTCCACAGGTAGGTAAATGCCTTGAAAGATTCCTATAGAAATAACCTCACGCTAGCCAGTTTGGCTCAGTGGATAGAGCGTCAGCCTGTGGACTGAAGGGTCCTGGGTTCGATTCCGGTCAAGGGCACATACTCAGGTTGCAGGCTCAATCCCCGGTAGGGGACATGCAGGAGGCAGTCAATCAATGATTCTCTCTCATCATTGATGTTTCTATCTCTCCCCCTCTCCCTTCTTCTCTGAAATCAATAAAAATATATTTTTTAAAAAGAAGAAAAAGAAATGCCCTTAATTTTGTCAGCCTGAAAACAGAGTCTTAAGAATTATGTGTACGCCCTCCAGATTATTTCATGTCACAAATTAAATGAGATTTAGAAATTTTACCTATTTTGGACAACTTTTTTAAGTGAAAAGCAAAGCCTAATTAAAGCCCTGTTTGAAAGCCCAAGATGGGTTTTTAAAATCTGCCTTATCTAATTTCTTAACAAAACTAACCAAAGCACCAGATAATGATCAAATTTCCACCTCAGTTTGCCAATTTTTTAGTAATGTATCTTTCTCTTTTCAAAGCTATCATCTTGTAAAATGGAAGTCAGAATCTCTAGCTATTCTGAGTAGAAGTGTTTGGGTACAGCTTTTAAAGCCCTAATGTCAACTGGCAAAAAATTATTTTTTTAGGTCAAACATTGGGGTTTTTTTAGGGACCAAGAAATTATATGTAAACTGAGATCCATTCATGAATTCAACAAGCATTTGAAGATCTAATATGAGCCAGATAAAGGCTCTAGAAGACAGACATGGGCCTTATCACCTAATTGATTAGACAAACTTTGAAATAAATATAACTTAATGTGCTAAATAAAATTCATGTTTATTTTTTAACATAATCAGTGTTTAAGTGTTACTATTGTTACTATTTAAAAGAGGAAGAGCCCTGGCCAGGTGGCTCAGTTGGTTGGAGCATCGTTCCATACACCAAAAGATTGTGGGTTCAATTCCCAGTCAAGGCACATACCTAGGTTGCAGGCTTGATCCCGTCAGGGCACATGCAGGAGATGAGCAATAGATGCTTCTTGCATCAATGTTTCTAACTCTCTCCCTTCCTTTCTCTCTGAAAATCAATAAAAACATATCCTTGTGTGAGAATTAAAAATAATAATAATTTTTAAAAATAATAATAAATAAAAAAGGAAGAGATTGTTTCCTTTTCATTCAATCCCATCATGTCTTACATTGCATTGATGAGACTAAAAAAATCATTTAACTAGGCTCAAGGTTCTCAAAACTGGGTTTCTGAATAAAAATAACAGTAATGGCACTTTAGTGAGTTATACATAAAATATTTTAATCACTCATTCTGTTGTTAAGATTTTAGATTTAAAATATTTGCGTCATCTTACATATGTTCTTTCTATTAGCAACTGGTATTTTAACACTGGCTATTTTTTCAAAAAAAACCTACTCTTCAGTAATGCAATATTTTGCTAGATGGAATCAGTATTGCTTACCACATAACTTCTCGAGATCTTTTAAAACAAACTCTTGATTTGACAAGTCAAAAGAGGAGGAAAAAAATCTAATCATACAGGGTTATTCACTTTTTAAAGTCTAGTTGGCTTCTCTGAAATTCAAATTTCTTTCTAAAGGTATCTGTTGGTTCTGAGTAAAGAGGATGTTTCATCTTACCTTAAAAGCCTTCAAAGGGACTTTGAAAATCCAGGATTTCTTATCTTTTTCTTTGGAGCCTGAGTGGCACACTGTCCTAGACTTTTGCATGATAATTTCGTACCTGCCGAAATTTAAACTCAGTTTGATAATTTTCTCCACCAATCACTGTTTAGGATCCCTGATATAGGGTTATAGCGTGTCACCGTGTCTGTGAAGCACATAATAACTTCCTCCTCTCCCTCCACTTGCTGATATGCGTTTGCTCACTGAACCATTTGGGACTAGACTTACTTTCACTTAATTAAATAGCTTTGGGAGGCTGTTTTGCATTTTAAATATAGAGAATCAGTGTAACATATCTGAAAAGAGCCACTTAAACTCTGTCACCCTGACATTTCTTGTCTTACTAAGGTTGGCAATCTAAGAAAACTCTAGGTTTCTCTAGTAAATATGACTGCCTATTTAAGACCCCTGTCATTCCTTAGGTGGGTATTAAAGTTTCTGTGCTATAATCCCAGAAATGTCCACATACAACAGCCTTGATATTGCTCTGAGAGGTGTCTTTAACAATCTATAAATAGTAACTCCATAAATTCTCTCTGACCCAGACACTGACGTGAAGTTTTAAAATGTATCAATTTATTATTCAAACTACGTTTTTAAAATACCAAAATTTTTTGTGAGGTACTTAGATGTGCAAAAGGATGTACAGACAAAAGATTGAGCTATCAATGACCTGTTTTCTGTCAGCTGTGCAAGACAAAATAGAAAACCAGGTCATATTTCTAGCAGAAAGTTTTGGTACTTGAACTCAGCATTGTTTTGAGCCCCCGACATGTGCTATGATGCAGGTACTGTAATCTCTAAATGGTTTCTCCAATTTGTGAGTTTAAAAACTTGACAATCTATGTCTTTCCATGAACTTGTTCAAAATTTTCAGGAATAATCTGATATTTTTGTACGCTATAACATCAAAAGATAGGAACCACGTTGGACCACTTAATATACTACTACCCAACAGTAGTACAGAATAACTACAGAATTAAATAGAAGACTATTACA